CCATACATTAAAGTAGGGACTAACACAGCATTATGAAATACCATACGTGCCTTTTTTGACACATTCTGGTTCTTCATAATAGAGTGTAGTGCCCCATTCACTCTATTCCCTGCATTTACTCGTCGTTCTATATCCCTGTCATATCTACCATCCCTGCTAAATACACATCCCAAATACACAAACTCATCCACTTGCTCAATTAACTCTCCTTCTATTCTTATTTCACATACCGTTTTGCTTTCTTCTCTTTCAAAAACCATCACTTTCGTCTTACTTGCGTTCACTTTCATTCCCCTTTCTTTTAATTCCCAGTTCATTAATGCAACCATCATTTGCAACTCAGCCGCCGATGACGCAAATATGACTTGATCATCGGCATACAGAAGGCATTTGACGGTTAACTCGCCCATTGTTAACCCACATTCTTCATCTTTCAAAGTTTGTAAAAAACCTGTCCATAAATAGGTTGAACAGCCAAGAGGAAGCTACACAGCCCTGTCTGACACCTTTTTGGATGCCAAACCAGTCCGAGTAGACCCCATTGATCCTGACACAAGCACTAGAGTTCCTATAAAGAGACCTATGCTGTTGATATGAGTTCAGTGTTTGCCATAACACATTCCTGTCCACTCTGTCATAAGCCTTTTCCAAGTCCATGAACGCACAAAAAACTTTCTGGTTTTTGGCCAAAAACTTCTCCGCAATCATGCGCATGGAAAAGACTTGATCTGTACACCCCATTCCCTTTCTAAAAGCCGCTTGCACATCCCAAATTTTTCCATCAGTTTCTTTCATAACTCTTTCAATTAACACCTTAGCATACAGTTTACCCACAATACTAAGCAAGCTGATACCACGGTAGTTTTTGCAGTCCTGCTGTGACCCTTTTCCTTTATATATTGGTACTATACCTGCTTTACACCAGTCATCCGGTACCCATTTTAATTCCCAACATAAATTAAACAAGGTGTACAGCAGGCTTGCCACCACTCCCTCTCCAGCCCTTAGCATCTCGAGTGATACTCTATCATATCCAGCTGCCTTACCTGCTTTCATGCTTTTCATTGCTTTCATTATTTCATCTACACTTATCTCCATACCCCTTTCCACTACTTTTGGAATTTCTAGTTCATTTAATTCAGACGACTCTTCACTCATAAACACGCTTTCAAAGTATTCCTTCCATCTGTTTAAATTTGAAACTTCATCATTCAGAATACATCTTTTCTCGTCTCTTATAGCATTAATTATAGGCTGGCGAAATACACCCTTGTAGTTCTTACGAGTTTCCAGAACATTTTTATGTTAGCCTGGAAATTATCAGATATCCTTCTATCATTCTTATCCGTTCTTTCTTTCTTTTTCCTTTCAACAACTTCTTTTACTTACTCTTATTTAGACGTCTAAATTCTGCCTTTTTTCTTTAAATCTCATCATTCATACCAGAAGAATTACCAGCTTTGGTTGCTAGTAAATCTAACCATGCTTTCTTCTTTGATTCAACTTCCACCCGTACCTCATCATCCCACCACAACGTTTCACAACTTTTCCTTTCATTTGTTCTCTTACTTATACCACATACTTCGGTGGCGGCATCCACCAAACCTTTCTTAATATTATCCCACACAGTATTCAAGTCTAAATCATTCATACACAACTCATTCAAACATCTAATATTTTCTCTCAGTCTACATTTATACTTCTCTTTCACATCTTCATCTTGTAACTTCTCTATTCTTATACGTTGTAACGCAGTGGTAGACACAGATGTCTGATGCCGCCAACGCTTAAAAATACCATTAATTCGACATAAGACCAAGTAATGATCCGTCCCTACGTTGGCCCCCCGGTAAACCCTTGTATCTACGACTGCGCTCCTCATTCTTTCATCCACAATTACGAAATCTATCATGCTTCTATCATCACCTCTTTCCCATGTATACATGTGAATCTTCTTATGACGAAAAAAAGTATTCGTCACAAAAAGATTCTTTTCCACATATACGGTGAGGAGGTCTTCACCATTCTCATTTATACTTTCATCACCAAACGTTCCCAATATCCTTTCATAACCAGACCTCTTCACCCCAAACCTTCCATTAAAGTCCCCTAACATAATAATATTTTCATTTTCCTTACATTTTGTCAACACCATCCTTACCATGTCCCAAAACTGCTCTCGGATGTAAGTGGGCTTAGACATGTCTGGGGCGTACACCCCTAGCAGGAACAGCTTCTTTAAGCCCATTTTCATTCGTATCCATAGCAGCCTCGGGCTTACATATTCATACTCTTTCACACATTGACCCATTCTTTCTGAAAGGATGAAACCGACTCCCTGGCATGCCCGTTCGGTCTCGTCTACACCAGACCAATACGCGGTATACGTGCCATGTGCAGTGGCATCCTTTCCCTTTCGTTTCGTCTCATTCACACATAACACATCTATTCCTCTGTCATTCATCATTTCGCATACTTCATCCATCTTATCATTCATTCCTCCACATACATTCATCGTAGCCAGACGGGTTTCCGCAATCCACTTTTCGCCCCTCCGGGAGACAGAACGTGACGGGTGGCGAACCTCGTCGCCGGTTTTTCTCCCGGAGATTCTTCGCACCCCTGCCCCATTAAAGGGGCGCCGGGAACTCGGGGCCATTTCTTTTATTTCCTGACTCATAGTGGCCTGTGTGCTCGTTTGTCACCGTTATTCTATATATATATATATATATACCATGATATTCTGCTCAGTAAATTGGAAGCCTATGGCATCAGAGGCAATGTATTAAATCTCATGGAATCCTATCTTAAAAATCGAACACAATATACCGAAATTTCTAGAATAAATATCAACACCAAAAAAAGAAGAAATATGCATATCAAACAAAGAAATATTTAAATACGGTGTCCCACAAGGAAGTGTTTTAGGTCCTTTATTGTTCATCATCTACATAAATGATTTACCGAAAATTACAAAATATCCAATATCGCTATTTGCCGATGACAGTACGGTAACAATAAACTCCATCAATAAGGATAAATTTGAAAGTGAAATTAATAATACAATTAATTTAATAATAAACTGGTTAAATAATAATAATTTAAAAATTAATCTTCAAAAAACTAAAATTATGTACTACAGTCAACGCTTAGCAACACCAAATATTAAAGTTAATTACCAAGGGACAGAAATCAACCAAGTAGATACAACAAAATTTCTAGGTGTAACCATTGATAAAAGTTTGAACTGAAAAGCGCACACAGAAGAACTAAACAAAAGAATTAGTTCTTCTGCTTATGCGCTCTATAAACTCTCATCCGTCGTAAGTACCGATGCGCTTCTCACGGCATACCATGTTATTGTTGATTCCATCTTGAGGTATGGCATCATATTCTGGGGAAATTCTACTAATAAGGAAATTATATTTAAGTCCCAAAAAAGGTGCATCAGAGCTATGTTAGGTCTTAAAATTACTGATAGCTGCAAACCATATTTCATTGAGCACAACATTTTGAGCTTACCCTCCTTATTTATATATGAAGTAGCAAACTTCGTTCAAAGTAACCCTAAATTGTTTAACAAACCATCGGACGTCACAATTCGCAATCGCAGGGATAATAGTAGGTTATGCGCAGTTGGTTCAAGAACGGCATTGATGCATAAAAGTATTTTCTGTCTGGCGCCAATAATATACAATAAAATCCCCAAACACATCAAACAATTGCCTACCAGACTTTTTAAGCTACATCTTAAAAATATTTGATAGCCAAATGTTATTACAGCTGGCCTGAGTTCTTAAGTGATTGATTGATTTAAAGATAAATTATGAATTGCAAATTTTACGAGACACCATTGAAATTTTTGCACATCTAAAATTATGAACATAGTGTTAGTTAATTTGTCTTGTAGAATAATTAATATATGTAGAATAATTTTTGTACGCCATAAATGGCAAAACATGTAGCTCGTATTAATTTTTTTTAACACCTGTATTTTTTACTCATGTTTTACAAAATAAATATCTTTATCTTTATCTTTTATCTTTATATATATATATATATATATATATATATATATATATATATATATAGAATAACGGTAACAAACGATCACACAGGCCACGATGATGACTAACATGAAATGCCTCGTTTCAAGTAAAAAGAGTCTCCGGTTCTCTGCACTCACCATACGAAACACAGCAGCATTAAGGTGAACGCACATATGTCAGCGACGTACGAGCCGCACGCACCGCACGCGCCGCATTTCCTGATAGCCTCGCACATTCGCGCAGTACGCGTCGTACGCGCCGTACGTGCCATAAGCAAATCTTTGGTATTGCAAACAATTTTTATTGTTTTTTACCTTTGGTGTGAAACGGTACAGTGAGTGGTATTGTGACATTAAACTATGGAAGAAATTGTTGTAATAGCCTGCTTATTGGCAGAGGAAGAAGAAAATGAAATTCGAAGAAATAGAAGATTCTGGATTCACAACATTAATTTTAAAAGGCACTTGTATGGAGAATATCATACATTATTTCCAGACTTAGTAGATGATGATCAACGATTTTTCAGATATTTGCATTTGACATACAAGAAATTTCAAGAATTACCACAATACTACATATGGTAAAACCACATCTTCCTATACAAAAATCAAGATTTAGAAGGGTTATCGGACCAGAGTAAAGACTTGTTGTATGTTTAAGGTATTATTTATTGATAAGTTTTATTGAGAAGTTAGTACTCAGGTATAATTTAGAAAAGAACACGAATCAGCAAGTAGTAATTTTAAAACTTATTTAAATACTACGTATTTCTTTAGTTCTTCATCCACCTCACAGCTATCATTATCATAGGATGCATTGAGAACCTGGTCGTTTAATATCGTTATCTGATGTGTAGGAAGTATTGGTCTCATTACTTGACGCGGAATAATATTTGAATGCAGAATCTCTTCGTTCGTAATACGAGACTCTTCGTTCGTAATACGAGACTCTTCATTTGTCATAGTCGAAGTTGTCGGTGTAATACTTGAATGTACAGTCTCTGTATTTGTATGATGAGACTCCAGATGTGACAGTCGATGTGGTCGGTTCAATACGTAATCCTTCAGTTTTAGCATTTGTGAAATGAGACACTGCAGGTGTGATAGCTGAGGTGGTCGATGAAATATATGAAGTTTGTTGTCGAGAGCGAATTTCTTTATTGGTGAAATGAGGCTGTCCAGATATAGTGGATTCAACGATTGTAGTATTTTGTACTGGATTTAGTGGCAAGGTAAAGAGGTACATTACTGGGGAGTGAACCGTTTCAATAGGTACAGAAGTAGCATCCTTTTCAATTAGCGTTTCCAGTTCTACATTATGCACTAATTGAAAGAGTTTACCTTTGATGTACAGTTGTTTCTTTTCATCAAGTCGTTGTACAGTTCTAGCCATACTCATAAAAATCTATTAAATAACTAAAAAATCTATTAAAAATCTATCTTGGTTAACCATTGAATAATTACTTTGCGGAGAACAAATGAAGAGGGCGTTTCTCGTGCTGGTACTGATGTATTTGAAACTCTATGTTCTTCATCGTTTATATAGGGAAAGAGGAAGCTTAGCTCTTTGTTATATTTAGGCGGTTTTATTTTGTTAGCGGCTTGACCACTTTTGGTCTTTATTAAACTCAACGCCTTTCTATAGTTTTCTCGTATTCTAGTCCATCTTTCTCTACATACTGACCCTATGAACAAAATATTTTTTTAATAAATCGAGTAAATTGATAATAAAATATACCTACTATAAAATGTTTCTTTTCAGGTTTTTAGCAACCGGAAATTCTTTTACATCACTGTCGGATAATTTCCGTATGGGCGAGAGCACAATTCGTGCAATATTTTATTCAACATGTAAAGTTATATATCAAACACTACAACCGATTGTAATGTCTACGCCAGATGAAAATTTGTGGACGTCGACAAATTCAAGTTGCAGCTCTTGACGGTAAACATATATTACTTCAAGCTCCGGCGCACAGTGGCTCTATGTATTATTGCTATAAAAAACACTTTAGTACAGTGTTACTGGCACTGGTAGACGCAAATTACAAATGTATTGCCGTAGACGTTGGCGCTTGTGGTAATAATTCAGTTGCCAACATATTCAAAAATTCTAATTTGGGAAAGCGTCTAAGCGAGGAAAGTTTAAGAAATGCCTTCACCAAAAGCACTTCCAGGAGGAAACACAGTCCTGCCACATGTAATCATTGCGGACGAAGCATTTGGCTTAAGTACATATTTAATGAGACCTTATTCACGTGACGACGCCAAAGGAGATGAAGGAAAAATAATATTTAACTACCGCCTGAGCCGAGCACGAAATACAGTTGAAGATACATTTGGTATATTAGTGAAAATATTCAGATTAAGTATTTGAACGGAGATTACTTATAAGTCACGATCATACTGTCACAGTTGTAACGGCAATATGTTGCCTACATAACTTTTTACGCGATGATACTAGCTATTGGTCAGAAAGAGATCAAATGGTGACGTTGAGCGACATGAATGCCTTGGAAAATTTCAGAGGTATTAGAGGACATTCAACTTCTGACGCGTTGGCAGTAAGAAATGCCTTTAAAGAATATTTTTATTCCGAAAGCGGATCAGTTCCGTGGCAAAGAAGTAGAGTACGTGCTGGAAGACGGCAACAGTGATTTTATAAACAAAATAACTTGCCAAGTACAACTCGGATACGCTCATAGAGGATTCCGTACTAAGTACCACGAGCCCGACACGTATACTTGGCCAATTTTTATTATTTACTGTTGCAATTGTAAACCAAAAATACCTTTACTACTTCCAGGGTTCCCTACGTAACTTCGGAAGTCATTTGATCGATTTTCATTTCACCGACCACCGCATTGATCGATTGCTCCATTGAATGATGCATTATTTCAACAAAGATTTAATTGCCCGATATAACGATTCATCGAATAACCGATACCAGTCACTGGTATATCTGTTAACTAAATATTCGCTGAAATGTTATATCGACTAAATAATACGTCAGTCATATATACCGTCGCTAAAATAAATTTCGGTATGTAACGGTAATAGGTTTTTCGATTAATCGTTCAAAGGTGCAATCGATCAATAGTGGTTGGTGAAATGAAAATCGATCAAATGACTTCCGAAGTTACGTAGGGAACCCCTACTTGCATAAGTACCTACCTACTACCAACCTACTTTACATACCGTTTACAGGTATATTACCTCTGGCTCTGAAGTTATAGTATGGATTTCAATGGCTATCCTAGCTTTAAATCCCCTACCTGCAGGTGTATTACAAACTCTTATTACCTGGCAGATTCCGGCCAGCCCAGCAACCCATCCCTTTTTTGCTTATATACTAGCTAGAAAGAGATGGCTTGCTGGGCTGGCCAGAATCTGCCAGGTAATAAGAGTTTGTAATACGCCTTCTGTGCTTCTGTACAGAAAGGATATGTCATTCTATTAAAAATAACCCCAAAAATTGTAAAACTACCGATTGCACAAAAAATAATTCTAAGCAAATTGTCAGAGGTAAAATTGCTGTGAACGGACTGAGTACAGATTTCGGCTCGTAAATTGATAAGTGACCGCAGAAAACAAAAATAAGGTATCGCGGGGAATCACGCAAGGAGCGGGGCACAACATGGTGCGTAGCTATAACGGTCACTTAACAACTTACGTGTCGCGACCTGTACGTAGGTCTTAAAATTGTTTTGAAATAAAAATGATTATTACTCACCAGTATCATTCATTTGTTCCCCAATTTCTTCCCATATGTTGTCCTGTCTTTGCTGGTTCATATAGTGGGGATGTCGCAAATTATACAACTCCTCATATTGTTGTACAAACGATATTAAAGCCACTTCGTCCATTGGTTCGCTCGTGTACCGTTCGGTACGTGCAAGTCGCTCAGTTCTACGGGCCCGAATGGCAGGCATGCACAGTGTTGCCAGATCTTAAAATCAGTTTTCCGAAATTTTTATTGCCAAATTCCGTGTGAAATCCGTATAGGAAGTTTGTAATAAAATCCATATGAATTCCGTACAAAAAAATTAAAACTCGTCTTATATTTGATTGACATAATTTCGATTTAGAGCATAAAAGTTTATGAGAACATGTTACGGAAAGAATAAATCTTGATAAAATATTTTTGTCTTGCTTGCAATAATAGTAAATTTATATCACTATTAACTGTCTTTTTCTCTCATTGTTGCATCTAGCAACTGCTACATCTAGCAGCACGGAACTGCATTTTCCTATGCTTCTCTATCCTTTTCTGTCACCCAGAATCGTCATTCACTCTAGCGAGAAACAGAACGAGAGTGCGACCGCACGTCGGCGGAATTGACGGGGTGGTCACCTTCCCGCTACGTTTCTAGACGTAGCTCAACCCTTTAACGACCAACCAAAATATCTCAAGGGTATTTGAAAAAAATACAAATCGCTAGTTTATGAAAAGATCAAATAATTTTTAACGTTCCGTTTTATTTAAATTCATTTTCTAGGAATATTAAGAAACTACTCTGTATTTGCCTGTTAATTCCGTATAAAAATCTGTGTGCATGTATTGTCCGGTTTGAACATTAAAACTCCGTATAGATACGGACAAATCCGTATATGTGGCAATACTGGGCACGTATGCGGCTACACCAGCACGTGCCGTACGCGCCGCATATATGACATCATCAGAATGCTTTCTTCAAAATTCGTATGCCTACAGCATTTTACGAAACGCGGCGCGTACGGTGCGGGTCAAATATGCGTGGATTCCCATGATTGCATACAACGAATTCTAAAATGCAGCGCGTTCGGTGCGTGCGGCGCGTACGTTGCTGACATATGTGCGTTCACCTTTAAGCTGCTTTTTTACCCAGGTATTCTGTAAGAGCGTAGTTTTTGCCCCGGTAAAGTCAACCCATTCGTGCTACAACCATTATATGTATAGCTGCAGTGTGACCCTACCACGTACAAAAAGGTTTAGGTATTCAAATTAAAATAAAAGAAATATTGCTATTTGATTTTAATGACGTTATATTTTGATTCAATAAGTTACTCATATAACATACTTTTTACATCTTACAACGTGTGATAATAAATTTACAAATATTTATCCCGTCCCGTTTCTTTCTATAAATATAAACAAAACTTAATTATTTTGTACCTAAAGTATGGTTGCAGACTACAAAAATGTACAAGGATAAAAATTGTGCTATCTGTAAAAAATGTATATGTGTGAAATTTTCTATTAAACCAATAAACTTTGTGGTTGATAATAAATATTCATTACAAAAAAGACACATCATTAGAAATTGTTTGATTCAAAAAAAAAATATTAAGTGAAATAAACTACCAATCGGGAATATTATATTTACCAGTCGGGAAGAAAGTCTAAAGAGAAATCTAGTAACTTACATAATGCAGTTTATAATACTCGTAAATGATTGGATTTTAAATATAAACCTTACAAATGTCATCGGTTTTCTTTTGTTAGGGTATATTTTATCAGTAAATTAAAAAAAACTTAATCAGGCAAATAAACTCGGAGATATCGTGTATGTAACATTAATTAATTACAACGGTATTGATAACTTATTCCTTTTTGAGTCACTTAAAAAGGAATTGGTGTGTTTTCTTCCAGGATTTGCATCCTACATAGTTTTGAAACCCTATTCCTATCGGTTTTATTCTTACATCCAAAATAAAATTTTGTTTCTTAACAAACTTCAAATTGCTCTTAACTTCTACGTCTATGATATCTAGGCGTATCTATATTAGTTTTATATTTACTATATACACAAATATTACTCTAAACATTAGTCTAGTATTGAATTTGGTTGAAAAAGGAAAATTACTTTCAATTTAATTATAACGGATGTGCCGATGTAGAGTTTAATACATAACTGCAAAACAAATATATTAAGTGTGATTAGTGAGATATAGATAATTCAGATTAATTTTTTTACTTGAAAGAACCTTAAAAGACACGATGTTGAGTACAATAAGTGTTAAAATAAGTAAAGGTAAAAGGAAAGTAGTTAAAATTCTAGTAAAAAGCAGTAGAGTTCATTAAATTCAATAGTTACCTACTCGTCGTTGGAGCAAGCATAATTACTTTATAATAAAAGTATTAAATGCGAATCATTTTATACGTGTTGAAATGTACAGCATTTAACGTGGACGCGCCCTCGAGTAAAAATCGTCATAAAACGTCTCGGCCATATTGTTTTTCGCTAATTGGTCGCCATATCGCTATTCGCGCGTTATGCGTCCATTAATTACTTACTTATTTTACGACCTCAGATTGTATTTCTTTTCAGAATAATACCTAAATGTATTTGCGCCGCCACATTTATTTTAATTAGATTATTTATTTAAGATGTTTTTTGGAGTAACAAAATGGTGGGAAAAATTTATTGATTTTTATAGCCATTTAATACAAACAAAAAAAAATTAAAGCCATGGATTGCTAATAAATATCATTGCATGATTACGGTACGGTACGGATTACTCGATGATTTGCCGAAAAGGTAAATGAACTTTTAAAACACGAAACAGATATTATAAATAAAGTTCGAGACATATTTATTTAAAAAAAAGTACGTCATATAAATTTCTTTTGAATTTACTTCTTAAATTCATAATATTTTTTACAACTGTTATTGACTATTTTGTATAAACTGAAAGAGTCTGTTTAGAAGTAGAACGTCCGGCGACAATGTAAACTAACATTTATTTCTAAACTAGCGATCATCCCCGGCTTTGCACGGGTGATTTCTGGATTTCAACAACAGCGCCAGCTACCAGGTCCAAATGAGTTATTAAACCATCCGGACTCCTGGACTCAAATACACAAAAAAACATCAAAATCGGTGGAGCCATTTCAAAGTTTAAAGTGTTTGAAACTAACGAACAGCAATTGATTTTTATATATAGAGATATAATTTGTTAAAACCTATTGTGTATAAACCAAACAGTTGTATATATTTTTTGGATAATTACTTAATGACAATATAACAGAATCTCTACTTAAATGTCAAGTGACCGATGTGTACTCTCTTTTTTTTCATAAAAAAAATCGTATTTCCAAAATATCTTTTGTCAATATTTTTAAATGTAATGCAATACAAACAATATATATTACGTAACCTTATTTGTTCAAATATTTGATTTGGTTACTATAACAATAAAATCTATAAGTAATAAAAATATAAATTAGAATATGATCAACAAATAATATTATTAAATTATTGCCCCAACTGGATTTAAAAAGAAATAAATATATTAACATTCAAGATAAAATAAATACGGAGAGATGTTATTTACACTACAATACGTGAGGGTAATATGGTCATCCGGTTAATATGGTCACTGTCTTGTAATTCAAAAACTACAGCCTTGTTTGTGATACTCTATATTGGTCAATCAAATATTAAAAGGTCAAAAGGATGATGCTTTACCGACGCCATTTTGACGGTTGACATTATAGAAAATATTTTAGTCGATTTTAGTATGGTGTAGTGTAGTTAGTTTTTTTTTTTAAGTATTTTAATTAATGCCAAAGCTCGTTTGCTATTTTTTTTTTTCGTAATATATTAGCCTTTGTACACGACTTTGTGTTTTTGTCTATGTCCTTCTCCTTGTTTTGGTTGTATATGGAGGCAAAGCAAAGGCGAAGATACTATATTACCCTCACGTACCTTACATATTCGTATAAGTATCTATATTGTACAAAGTTCCTACATCTAATATTCACACAGGATATGTTAACTGGTACTTATTAGTCTTTATTACCGAAGCACTAGTGATAATTATATTTTATATAAATATTTAAAGCAAAGGAACATTTCAAAAAATGCCTGTATTCAAGTTGTCAAAAGTAAAATTAGATCCGAGAGCCTCTGTAGCCAAATCTAATTCTAAATAAGTTACTTTCACGTGTTAAGTAACGATTCTATGCTAAACGGATTATGTTTTCGTGTTCCACCATTTCTTGACAGATCTTGTTCCGTGGCTGTTCCCGTTCCGCTGAGATCTAAGGAGACTGCTCTGCCCGAGTCGAAATCAAACTTTTCAAAATTCGCCCCATTTGTGCCAAATTGCTTAAAGAAAGACGGCTGCGGGCCTGGAATGGGGCTGAAATTTCTGCCTGAATGAGCATCTGATGTGGAACTATCAGAATTGTTAATCGCATCGGCGCCTGAAGGTGCGCGGAGCCTCCCTGATAAAGAGAAATCTTCGGGGCCGGAATCGTGACACGAGTCACCCCCCACCACATCAATCATGCTGTCTTCTCCTTCTGCGTCTTCATCAGAGTCGGAGTAGAGGCCGCTGTTTCTGTGCTGAGCCAAGTACTCCGCTTTCAGAGCTTCCAGGTCAACTGCGATGCCTTTGGCACGTAGTTTTCTCGCCTGTCTTTCTAGCGCTTTTGCCAATTTCTTTCTTCTTCGCGCCCTGTTAATAAAATAGGGCCCAATAAGTATAGAACCTAATACTAGTGCCATAGAATTGAATTTGACTAATTAATATTAAGAAATAGTTTTACAGTTTATTGGAAACTATAAAATTTTAATGTCCCAGAATATTATTGCGGTGTTGTTGTTTAGATAATACTGTAAGTTTTTTTTAGATTCTTACTAGCGTTATTTTCAATTTGTGATATTTAATGATTTCTTATATTTACGCGAACACTATACATGATTAAAATTGGGAAAAAAAAGAATAGAAAAATGATTGATAAAACTAAATTTACGGATTTTATCGCGTTTATTTACTTTTACAACCCAACGTTTCGGGCGCTTTCCAGCAACCATGGTCACGGGGGATTTTACTCCCAATAACTAACTACTAACAATTTATTTTATTCCAATAGGTT